AGAGAGAGAGAGAAAAGATTTAAATATATTTAATTTGAACCTTGCTGTTGGACAACTGGGAACTAGGGCTGGACAAATATTTTAAAATTAACTCATTTAATATCTGAAATCTAAGGACTGGTGATTAGCTAAACAAATTTATATAAAATCATAAACTATATGAAGCAAATTATATTAATTCAAACTCAAGACTGTTTGAGTCAATATCATAGAGATGGAAATGAGATAATATCCTCCCTGGTGTTTTGGTATAAATACAAAAAGTATTATTTTTCAATGAAATGTGAAAATGCAGCTCATTTTCAAACTCTAGAAGTACTGTTTCTGATTAAAATAAAGCTATATATTCTGACTTTCTATGAAAACACATAAATCTCACATATAATAATTCCTAAACTCTAAAAGTAGCCACTGATTTATTTAATTGAAATAGAAATACATAACACCTCAAAACAGCAAGGAAGGATAATCCACACAAGTAAAAATTCAATCATCAGTTCAAATAAAATAAATCCGGGTGTATAATTCAAATACGCATAAATAATTAATTCCACAACTAGACCACAATAAGTTACCGAGGTTCATTTAGAAGATCCATGTTTTCCCTAAGGATTACGTAGGGAGCATGATATACCACTAAAATAAACATAAGCAAACATTCACAATTAAGACACATTTATTAATCCTCGATTAATGTGCATATTCTGTTAACGTGGGTAACTGGATCCAGGTCCCTACATGAATATTCTTTTAAAAAGTACTCACAAATTAAAAACTAAATTTGAGAGACATACAAATTTCCCTCACTAGTAAGTAATAAGCAGCAATTTCATCTTCTGACATTTAGTAATTACTGATCATTCTTCAGAAATTAACCTTCCAAAATCCTAATAATTAAATAATAAGGAAAAAGCAAAGGAGAATAAATTACTTGCGAGCTCAGAACACAAGAGAGTCCATAAAGGAAATTGAAGGTCCTCGCCAATAAGCACCATGTTTCCCAGATCTACTTAAATAGGGTCCAAGACATCTAACGCGTTAAGTCTGATTATTCAGTTCTCAAGAATAGCAGGGGAATACGGTAATAGAAATGATCAGCCTTTAGATATTCACAAACTTTTCAGACTTTCTTTATTTGCTTTCTTTCCTACTGCTAGAAGTCCCACTTTCAGAGTTTCTTGCACCCAATCAAGCATTTTGCTTCAACACATTAAGCAATGAAACAGATACTAGAAATGTCATGTTTTTAGCTTGCTAAATCCAAGCTCGGAATAGAGAGCATAATTTCACAATGACCACTGCAGCTACGAAGATTTTTTGTCTCAGCTACAAACATATCAGCCAAGAATACTGGACTCGCAGATCGCGGTTTTAAGAAAAAAAAGTCCCATTTTGTTCTATGAGGTGAAAAAAATCACTCCTGCCTCTCGTGCAACAACTTTTGAAACCTCAGCTTATCTAAAATTAGGACTACCTCTAAATTCACTATTGGTTTGAGTTAGCTATAAATTAATATCTATCCATTTGAATCATTTTCTTTCTCTAACCAACGAGAAAAGGGTAATAATTTATAGTCAATTTGCCAAGAAAAGTCAAACCCACTTTTAAAAATGACATACCCTGTTCTCAGGCAAAACTTCAAGGAATGTTTTTAACCATATTTCTGTAGAGCTGCGACAACAGCAGTAATAAACAAATCAGAAAATTATCCGCTTCAGTTGTAGCTGAAAGTTTTCTTGCCTCCCACGAGTAAAACACATGTAGAGTTTTGAAAGTTTGAGAGTTGATTTAGGCTGATATGTTTTGTGCTCCTCTCCTCATATTCATTAACACGGTGACTGCCAGATGCATTTTTGATGGTTTGCCCAAGGCGTCAACGTGAAATTTTCATTAAGCAATGCATATTTTGCTGAAATATTATTTTCAGCAGATAAAATGAGTTATAAAATCATGCTTAACCGCTTGCCTGATTATCCCGAGTTATCTCGGGTTCGTATATATTGCAGTTAATTATTATCCTGAGAAAACTCGGGCAAAACAGAATTTGTCAGCATGATTTGTTTTATCATGGTTTCATTCGGCTTGGAGGAAATGAAAGGAAATATTCAGCTTTTATTGGCAATTCGCCAAGTTTTGATGGTTTCGTGGTTCTTTTGGCTGGACTGGTCATGTGTTTTCCCTATTGTCTAGTATATGTTGGCTTGTGGATTAGCAATGTATAAAGAATGATAGTTGCATTGAAAAAATTTAAATAATTGTGATGATGCAAGATAGTGAAAGCAATGATTTTTCAGATAGTGATTATAACCTCAAGGCATTTTCCAGATGTTATTCCTGCTACTGAAAACAAAATCAAATCCAATGAGACAGTGTCCTCTGTGCTCCCGCAAAAGAGATTCCAGAGGTAAGCCAGTAAGAAAAGAGACCAGATACCAGTGTATATAGAATGTTAGATATCACTTTGTGTTGTCCCTTGTTTCAAAAACTCTCATACAACTACTAATATTTATTTTTTTTTTATTTGACCGAGATAACTTATGATAGTAAACTAATATAAAAACTAAAGGCTTTTACACCTGTAAAAAAATTAAAAATTCAACTTAAAACCTATATATTTGTTTTGTTTCGTTTCCTAGTATTTAATAATAAAATTTAAAAATGTGATGATTTTTTGCAATTTTTTTCAAAAAAGTGTGTAAAGGAAGCGGTTAAAGCAGTTTTTGTGGTGGGGGTCACCGGCAACCGCTACAGCACGGTAGGCAATTGTTACAATTGTACTTTTTTCAAACAATCGTGCTTCAATTGCTAAGTGACTGCTCTCATTCTTTAGCCTTATTCGGCATGTTCTACAAGCAAGTGAGTATGCTGTTATGTTTTTTCACTCTATGTACGTTTTCGTATTTTATACTTTTTATTCAGTTTTTTATTAGCTCTGAAAAATATGGCTTCGAATGAAGATTATTTATCAAGTACATCATCTGACAGTGCAGTTTTACAAAGACCTTCAAAAATATTGCTACTGCTATCAGACATTGAGAAAAGTTCAGTGTGTAGTTCGTTGGATATGATAAAAGCTTCCACGGTACATCGGCACCGTGACACGTCTGACAGTGAAACTGAATCTGAAGATAGCGATAGCAATGAAAATGATATACCAGAAGAGTTTGAGGTGAATTGGAGTATTCTGTTAGGTAATAAAACCAACATCACATTTTCTGATTCGTCAGGTTCTAATTAATATATATCCATTTGAATCATTTACACATGTTAATCAGAAATTTTTGCTTGTACGAAACCACAGAATTTTCATTTCCTTTTTGTTACTGATGAACTATTCGAAATTATTGCAAAGCAAACGAACATCTATGCTATGCAAAAGAAATCAGAACTGCAATCACGTCTTTAGGTCAATGGTATGAAACAAATGCTAATGAAATAAAACATTTCTTTGGCCTAATTATATGAATGGGATTAGTGCGATTACTGAAAATTGATTTATATTGGAGTAAATATGAAGCATATAACCTGACACTTCCACGCTCAAGAAATCAATTTTAATTATTATTGCGGTTTGTTCATTTCAGTAATAATGAAGAAAATGATCCTAAAAATAGATTATCTAATGTTGCTTCTACCATCAATCATTTGAACAGTATTTTTAATAAATATTATAAATCAGATGAGATACTATGCATGAATGAATCCTTAGTGCCATTTCGAGGCCGCATAGTATTTCGCCAGTATAGTCAAAAGTCGTTAATCCGGACTCGTCGGGACTTCGGCGATTCCAAATTATCGATTTTTCCGGAATTTAGATCATCAGTTTAAATCTGGTAAGATGGCATGCAGAAATTACAAAATTAAAAATATGAAACCGTAATTTATGAAATAAAGAACAATTATGATCTAAAGGGTATCAAAATTTACAAAAAAAAAAAGCTTAATATTTATTTGTTTATTAAACATTTCTTTCAATGTAAGTTGTTTAAGTTGCTTCGTTTCATGTGATAATACTTTCTCTTTAATTCTATTAAACAGACATAATTTCTTGTTTAGTTACAAAGTTCCGCTGTTCAAGTCCTATAATTGCTCTGTCAAGAATACTGACTAATTTGTCAATTGAATTAAATCAATCTTTTTCGATTTCAATAACCTCTGTCACTTTCTTCACTATCGGAAGCGAATTATAATGACGAGGAACTTGTTTTAAATCATATCAATAATGGAGTACATCAAGATTAAATACTACATTTAATAAGGAATTATAAGCCAAATAAAATAAAAACATCTGCCCTGAAGATAAGGATAGCAGCCTTAATCTCAGTATCTGTGTGACACCTCTGATGCTGCACACTTTGCAATACCTCAAATCTTTCAAAGTCTTCTGTGCAGTCTCACAGTTCATGCTGAAATTATCTGCTAAGGATTGAATACAGAGGCATATGTTTGTGTGAGTAGCCTCATTCATCTTGGCACACTTTTCATCTGTTCCAACAGCATAACCTGGCCGAGGAAAAGAACAATCACTTATTTTTTCTTATCTCCCCTAAACATTCTTGCTCACTGTTGTTGTTTCCCAGATGCCTACATCGCTGTATGCTTTTTTTCATCTGATGGGACACTTCAGCTGCTTGATGTTCTTTGACATTGAGGAAACTGTATGAGTTGATCTTGTTTGGACAGGTTGTGTATGCAAAACTTTGTATTTTGATGGTTATTGTTGGAAAGACAAAATTCACTGCCGTATGATTTATGCTGTATATGAACAAAATCATATGCCATAATCTACCTCTAGAACTACACATTCTTTTTATCCCACCACATTGTAATTATTGTCAACAAACTGGTTTCAGTTAATCCTGCCTAATACAATTAAAGGCCAATCTTATATTATTCTTAGATTTATTGTCAAAACAAATCAAAGTTATAATTAAGTACTTTTAACTTTTTTGAAGTTTCACCTAGTTATTTTTATAGCAAATGTTTATTCCATTTTACAGGTGTTGGAACAAGTCAGACTACCATTGTTGAGTCCATACTATTTGCATGATTGTGTAGCCACCGTTCCTGCCGTATCCACTTCTACTCAGTGCCAAAAACTTCTCGAAGAAGCCAAACTGTACAATTTATTACCTGATCGTAGGCATCAAACAGCATCAGTGAGGACAAAGCCTCGTAAATCATTTGGTGTGTGTATAAAAGTATATTTTGTTCCATATTTTATTCTTTACTTCTAAAGTATTTTGATTTTGAAATTCTTTTAAACTCAATGTTTTTAAGCTCATGCCGTTCATCTAGGGTAGAATTTGAATAATCAACATCTTTCATAACCGAGGGTTACATAGTTCTGTTGTTTCGAGTTTTGTTCATATATTTCTGTTTCTAATTTTTACATTAAGTTTGGGTTTTTTTGCACTAAAGTAACTGAATCACTGAACACAAAATTAATTATTTTTAATGCATTTAAATAAAATTAATTATTTTTAATGCATTTAAATATAGGGTGTAACAGAATAAGTGGTCACAACTTTGGGGCTAATAGAACTTGGCAAAACTAACAATTTTCATACTGTGATGAGTAGTGGAATGTGGACACAGAAATACAATAAGTGCCAAGAGCATAAAGGACAGAATTTGTTTTGATTATGGATATTTGCAACAAATATTTTATATAAAGAAGTGTTCAAATGAATGATTGTGATGCATGGATAGCAATTGATGATATCCATTTCATCAATTCTTGTAATATAAAACAATGTTTAGTGCTTACATATTATCTTGTCAGCCATGAAACTGTCATCAAGAAATGCAATTTAGCACAGGGGTATGGATAAGGGTAATGTAACCATGCAGTCATAACATCTGCACTTTTGTTTGACTTTGATTGATTTTTAATAAGCCACTTTTTTTTTAAGAACAAGGATGGATATAAATTAAGTGTATTTGCTATTTTTTCCCTTTGCATTTTGAAAGCAAATGATTAAAATTTGAGATTACAAATTATTGATTTATCTATTTGAAATGTATCTACAATATGCAGAAAAATTTTGCCTTTCTGGTGAACATATACTTGTTAATGTAGGTAAAATGAGTTGAGAAATTATATGCAAGTAAGTGTATATTTCCATTAGAAATGGCAAGGATTTTTCAAGCTTTGAAACATTGTTTGGATGCTGTTTAAGTTTCAGAGTTAGGGGATTTTGCGCTGGTGATTTAATGGGTACTTCACCTATTTCTACAGGGTGAAAAAGTACACAAAAAGAAGTTGCTTTATATATGTATGTATACATGGCTTGGTTGGCATCAAGGAGGAAATGGATTGAATTGGAGAAACCAAACTATAGTAGAAATTTTTTATTGTTTTGTTCTTAGTATGGGTGCTAAAATTTCTCATTTCTTTTGGAACTTTGTCTGAATGTGGCAGTTTTCACCTTTAAAAGTGGGGTTGCATGCTCAAAAGAACAGATTTTCAACTAATTTGCACTGCTAAAATGATCTGTCTGCTTCTCTGAAACACAGCTATTGTATCTGGTGTGAGAGGTGTATTTAGCCCTCCACATTATGAAGTCGGTATTGACAAACTAAAACAGGCATCTCGGGGTAATAGTTTTCCCTCATTGTCTGCTGTGTTAGCTGGTATGTTCTAAAAGATCAGATTCCTGAAAAAGCATATTCTAGCATTCTAGCCGTATTCCAGCAATGTCCCATCTAGCAATGTCTAGTCATTGATCGATGAGCGGACCTGTTGCAACTACCTCCTAAGAAAAACACTGGATAAGCAGAGGCCTTTTTTCGCAGGAGAATTTACAGTCCACTGGGTGCATTCCCATCTGAGGACCAGATTGCCAAGATAACCATTTAGCTGGGACATGCTTCAGTCCAGTCAACATTGTCTTCAGATAAGTTATTTACAAAATTTCCTTCATCTAAATTTTTCATCCTGTAAAATTTTCTAACTTCTCTACATTTAGACATACACATACTTCTCACCTCATTGTATCAGCTCATAGTAAGTTGCTTGAATGATCTCCCACGAGGTTTTCTTTTGATATCTGTTAAAATGATGCAATTAAACAAATAAATAATTTAGTTTGATTTATTGAAATGAGTTGCCCGTCTTAAGTTTTTGATTTTATTTGATGCACACACAACACAATGATTTGTCTTCATTTATTGGTACATTTTAACTTTCAACTTATTAAAGAGCTTTCAAGGGTTTATCAGAACCATTATAAAATATACTTGCATTCTACAGAATTGCAAGCTGTGGATTATTTTCAAAGCTATGGAATATTATTATAAAGAAAAAGTGTATTAATGGACTGTGATTAGCTGAATATGAGTGATAAGACATTAATATATTGGAACAATTATCTGCAGGAAGTCTGTATTAATATTACAAACAGAGCTTCCAGTAAAATCGGAAGGATCAACAAAACAGTATAGAAATTGATGAAAGTCTTTTTATTGAGTGAGTTGAATACTGATTGTTTATTAAATAAAGAAGTATGAAATTCTTGAGAACTCTGCGAGAATGATTGGTGAAACTTTGACAGGATCTCCACCAACTTTCATGGTCAACAGAATAAAGCATAACTACCCAGTATTTCTTGTAAATATCCAAATATTAAAATTACTTTTCATTTTCTGCATTCTTTGTATTTACAGTGTTTTTATGTTCACAATCCACCAAGCATTTATCTTCATAGAATCTGGGTTTTCCGTAATGTATCTTTTCAACATTCCTGTACAATATTTGTAATAGTCAACTTCTGATTAATCAAGGCAGATTAGCACAACCTTGTATTACAAAAAAAGTTAAATTTGTTCATTGGAGAATAGAAAATTATTATCTCAAAACATCAGAAGAAAACATAATTTACATGAGAAATTTTTAAAAAATTTAAACAGGGAAAGAGAGAATATATGAAAGGATTCAAATTTTAACATCACACCAGCTGATTTGTTAAGGTTTTTTATGCTGTGAGCATAGTAGGTTACCAGTCTGCTCTTGGACTTAACTCCGGCTAACGTTTTTTTTTGTCTTTTTAGCATTATTAAGCATCAGTCTCTTCATACATATACCAAAGAGCAAAATCTCGAAATATTCAAAAGCAGTATATCTTTGGAATTCCTGATAGATTGTTAGAGGTTGCCATGCATTTTTTATATTTGCCACATTATTTCTATTAAAACTAGCATCATAGATGAGTTATCATAAAAAAGAAAAAAGTATATGATTTAAACAAGTCTAGCTAGTGTCATTTCATAAAAAAATTTTTTTTCTGTTTAGGCATATCATGATTTAAATAATTTTATATTGAGATTTTATAATATGTTTATTCATGCATATCAAAATGAGTGTATAAGTATTTCCTTTCAGGTATTTCAGAAGTAATTGTTGCAGTTGGTGGGGAGGATGACAAAGTTGTCCTTCGTAGCGTGGAATGTTTCGATCCGGTGCATGATAAGTGGTTAACGTTAGCTTGCTTGCCATTTGCAATCAGCAAGCATGGAGTTGTTGTTACTGGTGAGTTTTAGAATCATAAAACTACAATTTTTTTTTTTCAAAATAATTCAACTTTTTTACAAATTTATTATTGTTTTTATGTAGAGTAGGTTTTAAATTATTTCAGATTTAAATATATTCTAATGATTATTAATAAATTTACCCTATGGCAGAAAATTGTAACAATAAAGAAAACCAATTTAACCAATAATGAAACATAATAAAGAAAACATAATAAGCATCTAACATAATAAAGAAAACCTGTTGAAGCATAATTGCTCCAATTGGTTTTCTTTATTATGTCAAAAATGATTTTTTCTCTGTTGCGATATGAATTCTCTTATCCTTAATTTGGTGATTTAACAACATTTTTTTAATTTTAAGACTAATTTGCAAAGAAAAATTCTGATTTGGCAGTTTAAGAAATTCATAATGATTTTATTCTTGACAAATATATTAAAATTAAATTTTATAGAAAACATTAAAGAGTAACATTTCCATTTCCCTTTTTCATATTTAAAAATATAGCTTTCATTTTGATGATTTTTGTGTATTTTATTTAACTTTAAAAATTTAAACAGTCTTAATAAAAAATGTTATGAATCACCATTTCCAAATTACTTTTTACCCTTTTTAGTTTTTTTTCCCTCCTAAGCAAAAACAGTTCTGCAATCATTTTACATTTTTTTTTTAATTTAACTAATTTTTCATATTTTACAAGAGATATTTTTCCTGTGTAAATCTCTGAAAACATTTTGTTTCAAAATGTTTCTCAATTCAGATTGGAAACTGATATAAATTGAGTCCATATCGGATATAAATTGAGTCTGTATTGGATATATTGAAGATATTCAGATTGGAAATTTTCAAAATATTCAGTGACTCTTATTCACACAATATAAAGCATTTTCCCCTGTAAAATTCTCTGTTTTTTTTTTTTTTTTTAAATATAATTTTAGTGAAAATTTTTTGATTTTTACTCTCATAATATTGCCAGACATTCCTTATCTTTACAGCCCTCCAATCATACGTTGCCAAGTTCATGTTTATATCTCACATACAATTCTTGGTCTCATATTTCTGTGATTGCTTTTAATGCATCACAGAGCATGAAAATGCATGAAAGCATTTTCTTGCTAAACAGAATTTATGATTAGCAGTGAATTGCACATACTCAGCTTTTGCCAGTGCCTCCGTTTTGTGTGCTCATCAACAATCTGAATAAACAGTTGAACCTTCTTGTACTGGATACACAGTTTTTGCCATGTGTGTAGTTACTTGGTACCTGAACAAGAAAAGTACTCCACAGCTTCTCGGCATAATCTGGCAATTATTAATTGCTGTAGGAAAACCTTGTGGGTATTATTTATCTTTTATTTTATTTATTTATTTATTTTTGCTAGATGAACAATCTTTTTTTTTTTTATTTTATTTCTATTAATTTCCCGAGGCTTTCTCTTTGCTTATTTGGTTGTGAGATTAAGTGTAAAGAATATACCTCTTTTATAAAACTATTCCAGTCAATTTGTGCAAAGGTTGATTTGTTTCTCATATACTTTTTTCTTTCAAGAATATTTAAATGCTTTGTGCACCATGTAGTATTTACACAAGGCTTACAAAGGTAGGTTAAAAAAATGCAACACAAAATAAAATAAAATTTCATACCTAAAAAAGCATAAGAAATACAGAAAAAAAGAGAATGCCATTTTATCATGAACAGACACACACAGGATGAAGAACACTTAGTGTTAAAAAAAATTTTCACTGAAAAATGAGTTCCTTTCTTCCTTTTATAAGCTTAGAACAATGGAACAACAATGTTCAACATTTTGATCTTCCCTGAAGCTGCAGGAACATAAATCCATATCGGATAGTCTAAGTTTCTCCAGATATGAATTCAAATTACTGTCCTTAGAAATTTAGTAATTTTAGAATTGTAGGGAAAATGTTCATTACTATGTCAGTGAGGAATAGAAATAAAAAAAAGTTATTTACTCAGAGAGGCAATAGAAAAATTTCTGTAAAATTCATTCTGCTTGAGAACTGCTTTACTCCAACTTTGTTTCTTGCAGAATAAAGTAGGCCTGTCATTGTGGTGTTAACTTGAATGTTTGTAGCTTGTTTTGCCATCGAATAACATCTTTCATTTCTTAGAATGCCAATATGGCCATTTACATGTGAAAAGATGACATCAACACTTTTATTAGTAAAATCTTTAAGAATCATATGAGACATAACAATTAATTTATTAAAGAAGAAGACATTCATAAGAGAATGTAAAGATCAAAGAGAAACAGTCCAAATAAGAAAGTTACAATTGAATGAAGTATGATTATATGTCTATTTAATTAATTCACTAATTAATGCACAGTAATTTGGCATCAAAACACTGCATTCATTGGGAATTCTAAACCATCTTTGTTCCAGTTCAGAATTATGTTGAAAACTGACATAAGCTAGTCCAACTTGATTATTAATTTTACTGCCACATGTATAACACACAAATGAGAAATAATCTTTAACAGAATTGTTAAAAATTGTAGTTTACATTGTCCAATGATCAGCAGGGTGAGGAAAATCCTTAAACAGCACCTTGGTATTAAACATAAGTTTGCTGATGTCATCTTTAAATTATTTTGTTATGTATCATATCACTTAACTGACAGCAGTTTATCTTACATATATACATATGTTTATTTCTAGGTCAAAATATTCTGTATGTAGCTGGTGGCGAATATCCTGATGGCACTGCTAGTAGATCTCTGTGGAAGTATGATCCTATATTTGATCAGTGGCACGAAATGGCCTCTATGAACATTGAGCGATCTGAATTAGGTATGGAGTTTGTCTCTGCCTGTTGCTTTAAAAAATTTGATTCTTTTTCTTTGAAACCATACCATCTGGCATTTTTTTTTTTACTTCCTTGTATGAAGTAAAGGAAGTATTGTAATCTGAGAAAATTTCAGCTATCATATTTCAAAGAAAATATCTATTTTGACCTCTTGAATTGATTTGAACAATGTTTTTGCATGACATTTGTACGTATGGACAGAATAAAGGACTCTTTTTACCAAAACAGATTGTAAAATGGATTCAGGAGAGTTTTTTTTTTTTTAAATGACCTCTGTACATTCATACGAATGCATCTCACATAACTTGAAAACGAGTTACCTCAGAACATCGAAATTTTGTGTATGAGACTGCTATAACATGCAGTTGTGCAGCTCCCTTTCTAGTAGCTATCAGCTGCACCAAAGGTATATACAGTACGAAGTCCATAATCTGTACTCGTCGGGACTCGGTGATTCCAGATTAGGGGTTTTTCGGATTATAGATCATTAATTTAAATCTGGTAAGATGGCATGCAGAAATTATACAGTTAAAAATATGAAACCGTAATTTATGAAATAGAGCAATTATGATCTAAAGAGTATCAAAATTTACCAAAAAGAAGCTTAATATTTATTTGTTTACTTTATTAAACATTTCTTTCAATGTAAGTTGTTTTGTTTTTTGTGCTAATACTTTTTCTTTAATTCTATAAACAGGCATAATTTCTTGTTCAGTTACAAAGTTCCACTGTTCAAGTCCTGTAATTGCTGTGTTCGAGAATTCCGACCTAACTTGTCAATTCGAATTTTTTTTTTAATTTTGTTTTCAATAACCTCTCTGTCACTTTCTTCACTATCGGAAGCTGCATTTTCTGGATCTAGAACCATACTACAGATTTTGCCATCCGTTGATTGATGATTGGGGCATTGTCATCGCAATGAAAAACTTATGTTATATCATCTTCATTTATTACTACGTCTCCATATTTCTTTACAAAATCCAATAAGTGGAAAATTTCACCTTCACTGTATATATATATATATATTGTAAATTGTACTTTTTTTGTTTAAAAGTGGTTGAATGATGTTGTTCTTGTGTTCTGGTTAAGGCTTTTATGCCTTTAGTTAATATGCATGCAATAGTTGTAGAAATATCAACAAATTAAAAGTTGCTTAATTAGTACTAAGCCTAACGAAGCCGCCATTTGTTTACATATGAAACTAAGTGAATTAAGTCAGGCAGAATAGTGAATTAAGTCAGTTTGTGCACCAACATTTTTGCTGAATGGGACCAAAAGTAAACTTTCCGTTTTGTCCACCAAACAATATCTGTCTTCATGCCTGCTGGCCGAATTGCTTGTTTTTGTGTAGAACTCTAATTGTAATTGTAAAAAAAAAATTTTTTTTAAACTGTTTTTTAACTGTATTTGGCGTTTTATGCTTTTCTGTATTTTACAACTTTTTGAGTTTTTATATATTTTTTCCTTGCCACGAAGTGAGAACTGAATTAATTGAATGCGAAATATATCTCTAATGAAATTCAAGGAAATAAGTTTAAATGAAGTGCAGTAAAAATAATTTAATTAGGTCGTACAAGGAAGTTATTTGGTGTCCACACATCAGACTTTTTTTTTCATATGTCTTTGGCATTGAGCTTCACCAGTTTGGTTTGGCTTCCTTTGTGGGCATAATTGCTTTTAAACCCATTGCTTGTCCAATCATCTTTTTCATCTAAACATAGTTTTCTTTTCCTTAATTCAGTGGAGTTCATTATTTGGGATTTGGAATATTTCACAGGCATAAATAAGCGGAACACTTGAACTTCAGTTTGGTTGCACAGGTATCATTCCACCACGCTGTGAAACTTTGTCCCAATTTTGAATGAAAAGCCAACATCAAAATGTCTTGTTGACCATACTTAATTTTCAAATGTTGTCAAAAAAAATTTCAAACACAGTAGTTCTCATAAAGTAAATCCCCTCCCCCAAAGAAAGCTTAACTTTTTTTATTTTATTTTATTTATTTATTTATTTATTGTTTGTTGAGAAATCAAATTGATAGACAACTGCTGAATTGATGTAGTAAAACATAAAATAATTTTAAAGAATGCACTTTTTACTTTTTTAGAGAAATAACTCAAAAATGCATATATGTTTGTCTCACATCAGTATTCTGAGTTATTTGAAATTATGTCTGATTTTTACTGCACAGTATTTTTCAGGGTTTTTGAAATAGGGTCACAATCACTCCTGAAGTAAGTTTATTGATTGATTTTTGAAGTAAATAGTTAAATGTTAAATGTATGAGCACTTAACTTTTTTGTTTAGCAACAGAGCATTCATTTTCTTCTGGGGGAAAAAAAATCAAGATGGCTCTGCTAATACGTAAATACCTATAACAGAATAATACTGTTATGAATTTTATATAATTTAGCATGAAAAATCTGAAGAAAGTAGTTCTGCTGCAGAAATAAGATTACAGGAGCTAGTGTATTTAACATTGAGGTAATGGCTATCTCGCTAAATTGGCGAGATATCGCCGATTCGGTAATGGATGGTTTGGCGACGTCCTTGTGTAACTATAAATGGTACTGTAATTGGATGACTATGAATGATTCCTATATGTAATTGTGTGCAGTATTTATATGTAACTTTAACCATTGAGAAATGGAAGGTACTGGAAACCTCAATGCCTGGGGAAAACTGTATAAGAAGTCTAGAGAGAGTTTTTTCTCAGCTCAAAAGTAATCTGTTTCTTGAATCTCTCAGGGTGTTGATTTCTACTGATTGTTGTTCTAAGATTATTTTTTTAATTTGTGTCTGTCATTTCAGAAACAGGATATTTTATTTATTTAATTGAGTGATATACTTTTTTCATTGCACAAACCCTCTGATGATGATGCAGCGAAAGATGTAAATTCTATATTTCTTTTTTAGTTCTGACATATTTTACCCTCTTATTCCTTGCAGTTTGCCTCTGTGCTTCTTCCTTTTTTGGGGGGAGGATTTATTCAAAATTTAATACGGGAGAAATTTTAAATGTATTTTTATTTTGCATTATTACCACCACTTAGTGCTGTTTACAATATGCAGTTGGATTAGATGTTGAACTGTTTTGTCTTTTATATCATATTTATTCCTTTATGTATGTATATTTCTTTTTTTGCAATAACTACTTTAGGCATTTGGCCATGTAACCAGCTAGTCTCTACAAAGACTAAATGTCTGTTCCTAAACATTATGTTTATAATTTCTTTACTGGCTTAGTTTTTTAGAGTTGTAAGATATAAATTTAAAGTAGTGTATATATGTAAATATTTTACTGGTGTGAAGGGTGCAATTAATTCAAAGGACTATCCAGAGAGCTCACATGTGGAAAACCATTAGTTTCTAAACTAATGGTTTAAGAGAGGTTATTAATGGTTGAAAAAATCATTAATAACCTTTAAGTTTACCGGTACTTGAGAAAACTTGAAGTTTTCCCAATTACTGATTACTGCACTCTCAAGCAACTAACTCATTTTGATGTTTGGGCAAACTAGAATTTTGGATTATCAATCAATCACTGGATTATACTAGTCCTTAAAAGAATGATTATAAGCCTTGAATTGCAATAGTATTTTAACCAGTGTTTAGTAAAATGCTTAAATAAAATTTTTTGTAATTTATATATCTTAAATCATTGTTTTTATATTGCTTACACACAATTCTTTTATAGGTTTAGCAGTTTTAGATGGCTATATATATGCAATAGGTGGTTGGGATGGCTTATCTAGGTTGAGCAGTGTTGAAAGGTATAATCCTAATAACAACACATGGGAGTATGTATCACACATGAAACTATCACTGACATGTCCTGCAACTGTTGGACATGAAGGACATCTTTATGTAACAGGTGGAGTAAATATTGCTTTTCTTTTCCTCTCAATTTTATTTAATGTTGCATTGTAGTGAAACTTCTAATATCCAAAACATGAATTTTTTATGTATTAGTTTTGTTTTTATTATAAAGAATCAAATTAAAATTTAAAAGCAAAGAAGAACAAGTCTGTAAAGTATGCGTAGTCTACTCTTTTCGGTAATTTTTACTGATTAGTTATTTATTTAATGCTGCAGGTCAGTTTGCATCTGTTGTGACTTGTGTCACTTGTCTGATAGTAACATGAGAACAAGTTTAAAGATTTTATTGTGGTGTAAATTGCAGAATTGTGTCTATGTTCTGTGCCCTCTATCTGTACCTCTAATCTATAAGGTACAAACGTTAAGCTCCTGTCCCAGTCTTGAGAAAGAAAAGCCCAAGGTGCAGTCCAGTGGTCTTCCTCCTCTCTTTCTCTACCGCCAACCTCTTGAGAAGACTTTTGGCTCGTCATACAGTTTGAATGCTCCCTTGCCGCACAGATACTATATGCTTATGAACATCCATGTCTTCTCTAGGATTCAAATGCAGGTCCATCAGTATGGCAATCAGCATAACTAACCATTATATTGGATGGGCAGCACTTTATAACTTTGACTGGTATAACTTTGTCCAATTCTGTTCCAATTTTCAAGCAGAATCCCCCATGGAATGGGCTGCATATTATCTCATTTCTCTTCCTCTGCCACCAAGCTTAAGCTTCCACTTAAGAGGACTTTTAACTTGGTATATATTTTAAGTGCACCAGGAGTATATATTTTAAGCGAATGTCACAAAAGAACTACTCAGAAAAAAATATCAGCCATCTCCAGGATTTAACCCTAATGAAGACATGGACACTAGCAGTGCTAACCGTCATATATAACAGCATCACTAACCTCTGTAAAAAGTATGGCCCTCATTTTAATCTAAATTGATTTAATAGCTTAAGATACACACGTATCTTCAAAGCAATGATTTGAGGCTTAACACATTTTTATATTTTTATTGCATTATGTGAATAGACTAGTTCTCTTTTAAAATATGCTTTCCCCCCTTGTTCATTATGACTAATTAGAGGGTTTCTGTTTATCTGGAAATCTTGAAAACTCAGTATAATGAAATATTATAAAGAGTAGTCGATGATTATATATTCAGAAAGTTCTGGAGCTTTTTCCCTAAAAGTCAAAGAAGTTAAAGAAAAAAATTACAGATCAGTTATCTCAAATATTAAAAAGACTCTGTATTTTCCATGACATTTCCTGGTCTTGTGGTAGATCGCAAAATCTCTTGGTTTTTAATTAGCAAGTTTCACTAAGGAAACTGTTTCCCAGCTGTAAATAAAATCTATTGAATTAACGAAACTTAAATTGTCAGAGTTGCCAATTCTCCTGATTTAGGCGAGAGATGACCAATTTCCAGCCGTTTCCCCACCAACACAATTTACAACATAGTTCTCCCAACCTTTTCTTATTCTTAAATTTTCTCATGATTTTTATGTACTTTGGCTTAATACTTTGTTATGTGCACCAAAAACATGGTTTGGGGCAGCTCTTCTCTATATTACATATAAAAGAAAACCAAAGTTGTCTCATCAGTGACAAATTATGGCACACTTTTGCTTTGTGAGTGAGAGCACCTATGTTTGAAAACGTCGTGTTCCAGTTCTCTGAAGAGCATCGAGCACCACTGAGTGTCATCTGCATATATTAGCGATTGAGCAAAGCAAGATCGAGGCTGCTATTTTATTTATCCTGTCCTGAGCGGTGTGAGTGCACGTACTTTCGAAAAATTGTTTAAACAATTATGGTCTTTTGTTTTGGTTATGTCTGTGAAAAAGGTAAAATATTCATGTACTTAATCTAGAAAAATGTTTCCTAATATAAGGTTCATATGGTCCTTAAAAGTCCTTAATTTCGACCAAATTCGGCAGGAGGTCCTTATTTTAATCATCTGAAATTTTTGTCTGTTTTTACGACTGCCATTTTGAATGTGAATTAGCATTTTGGACAAATATTTTTGGCGATTTGTTGACAAATATAGGTGGGTGAATAGGTTCATGGGTTATAATTTGTTCCTATTTCTAATATAAATGATAGGATACTCAAGTTTCTGAGCAAGAAGTGAAACATAAGCATTTCGAAATTATTTCATTTTCTCTAATGAAGAGTTCTTGAAAAACTGCTCACTTTTAGGAATGTGAATTCTTTATTAAACGGTTCCAAATTTGGCTACTTATCAACATTTTGGCGATTTTAAGATCAGTTTCTATAGAAAACTTTTAATTCAGAAATCGACGATATTTTTCGACGATATTTTTTTTTAAATATTACAACATTGTTCAATTTCATTAAAATAATGCTAATATATTGAAATTGTATTCAAGAAATAACATTAAAATTAAACATTTTTATTTTTCGCTATCGTATAAAATGACATTACTTCCAATTTTGGCAACTTTTTATACATTATTTTGAATCTGAAAAATAAACAAGGTAATGAATGCTTTCCGCTTTAGCACAGTTTATGAAACATTTCTTAGCAAAAGCAAAATAGCTACGTAATTAATTAATTAACTTCCTTTGTTGTAATTTTTTCATGGTGAGAGTTTTTTCCATGCAGAGTTGCCAACTCTCCCGATTTAGGCGGGAGACTTCCAATTTTCGACCGCTCTCCCGCCAACCTGATTTATAATATATTTCTCCCGAATTTTTCTTATTCTTAAAATTTCTCACGATTTTTATGGAACTTGGCTTAATACTTTGTTATATGAACAAAAAAAAAGGGGGGGGGATTTTGGACGTCTGAAAACAATTGAATTTTCTCTAGATTATATCTAAAACAAAACCTTGCGAATTAGATAACTTCTGCTTTGTGAGTGAGAGCATATACGTATCAGAATTGTCATTCTCCAGTTCTTCAATGGGCATCGTGTTCCACTGCGTGTCATCTGGCATATATTAGCCAGTGAAGACAAAGCAAGCTGTTATTTTGATGTTCTTTTAGTTATTTCGGTCATTTTGTCCTGAGTTGTGTGAGTACAGGAATAGAATAGCCTTCGGGAAATGTGAACTGTATAGAATTATGTTGGCCATCTCGACAGTTTCCCATAATAATGCAGAGTGTGAGAGGATTTTCCGTGTTGTTGGGAAAATGAGGATTAAATTTAGATCTAATATTAGTGATGGCACATTAGAAAAACTTTTATTAGTGAAAGCAGGCCTATGTGGCAATTGCTATGAACAAAATTATGAAGTTTCTTTCTTAAAGAAAGCAAAGTCTGCCACTGTTTATAACATTTGTACGAAAACTGATTAAAATGTTTTTTTCCCTCCTTAAAACGATGCAAGTAATAAAAATGTTTTTTATGTGTAAGGTATTTTTTGTGTTGCTTGCATTTAAGAATTAGTTACTATTTATAGTTAATTCATTATTAAAATCTATATTTTCATCATTTAAAAAGTATTTTTAACATTGTGAAAAATCTCCTGATTTTTTAGTGTCATAGGTTGGCAAGTATGCCCATGTAGTTGTCTCAATATGCAGCAGTTTTTCTCTTTAAAATTAATTTTATACTTTTTCCTCGGATTTTTTAAAAATATTTCAGCCTTTTTGCTGTTACAGAATTGATAGGGGTAGTTTGCAAAACTGCAACTTGCAAAGTTTAGAAGGATTTTAAGGCAAAGATTTACAGACCCACAAATCTAGAAGATTCCAGATAAAATGTCTTCATGGTGTTAACACGTAATGGATATATTTTACAGAAAGTTTGTGATAAACTTTTACTTTTTGGAAAATTTTCTGAAAAACAATGGAAACATAATATTTAAATGTTTTACTTCTGATACTAGAAATCTTTTTCTTAATATGTTAATCTCTTCATTGTTTTCTCTATTTTTCACTAGATACAAGCATGGAAAATATCAAAAATGCTTCTAATCTCATCACATGGACAGTCATTTATAGAAAGGAACTTTTCTATTAATAAAGAAATTGAAAAATGACAATTTAAATGATTAATCTTATATGTGTCAATGCATGATCAGTGGCGTAGCTGGGATGGGGCAAGGGGAGACATCTGTCCACATGCGCAGCATCCATGGAATACCAAATTAATGTTACAAAATTTTAGAATTAAATGGTTTTCATTCTTGGCATACAGGAGGGGGCACAAAATCTTCAGTTTTCCCCGGGCGCTGAAAACCCTAGCTACAGCTTTTACATCATACACAGGGCTGGCACTACGCATTTTCCCACCTGACAATCTTTGTGGATTCAAAATTCTAAAATTTTGCCATTTCTTCATTTTTGTTGCTCAGTGTGTCACTAAATTCTAAAAATTCTGCTACGTCGGCTCTATAACCGGCCCTTACTGTATATCATTTCATATTTATTCTGAATGTTCACATTACTAAAGAAATAAAATTAGCACCTTTTTCTATAAAATCTATGTGCATTGATTTTTTTTAGAATAACAGAAATTAATTAAACCCACAAATTCTAAAATGAAGAGGAAACGTATTGAAAAAAGAAACCGAATGCAAGAAAATGATTCTTCAAAGATATGTACAGTCATTATTATGTAAATTAAGCAATTTATAATTTCAGCCTTTGCTATAATTTTCTGTTTCCTCACCAGAATGAAAATCCCCTAGATAGTTTTAAACTAAGGTTTTGGAGTTGTAAGGCACAGAATTTGTTTCTGGCCATTTGAATTTGTTATTATGTGATAACTAGGTTACGACAAGTTCCGAGTTTGTTAAGACGTGTAACTGAGCCAGCTTAGATTAAAATTAACTTGTCTGTTCTTTGACCGCTAGTCCACATTTTTAGTTTGAATTTTACTGTCACTGTTTAATTGGATCACCATAAGCTGTAGTTGATTTTGCTAGCATAAGAACATGCCTTTATGTTCTAAGGTTTTTTTTTTAAAAAAAAAAGATGTAGCTTTTTTTTAAAACCTTTTCCCAACGTTGTAGTTACCTTTAGACATAGCAATA